TATTGAAGGTGACAGACAGAGATGGGGTTGGGCTGACGAAATGATTCTTCTCTATGTTAATAATTTGAAAAAATTACACGTTAATATTTTGAAATGATAATTAGCACAAAAAATTTCTTTACATTTTAATATTATTGTGCAAAACGTTTATACTTTTTATTTTTTGGTATTTTCATTCTTATTTCCACATTTCATTGTCAAAAATGTCATCTCATCCACTTGCCATCAGTTGTTCCATTAATTCAATATAAAAGGTCAAGGGAATTAGTACAAAACGTTCATATCTTTCAATATTATTTCACAAACATCCATACTTTTTTTGAGCATTTTCATGCTTATTTTTACATTTTATTACCAAAAAGTCATCACATCTACTTACCGTCAATTGCTCCATTAATTTAATTCAAAAAGACAAATTTCTTTTCAAACTTTAAGGGTGAAATAGTCTCAGCATATTTAACATATTCTTCCTGCCTTTAAAATGGTTGTCATATAAGTAACAGTAACGTGAATATGAAAATAATATATAAAATTATTGTATTAAATAAATAAAAAATGGCATTAAGAACATTGTATTTCACAACAATGGCTACTGTAATGGTATACTACTGATAAAATTTAGAGGGGTATACTGGAGAATTCAGATGGTTGTACATTTGCCTTAGAGCATGAAGGGATGGGTTCATTAGGGGTTGCAGAAGGGTGATTGGATTAGATGAAATTCAATATTCTTTACATCATTTTTTATTTATTTAATGTAATAATTTTATAAATTATTTTCATATTCAAGTTAGCATTACTTATGGAATAACTATTTTGAACGCGTGAAAAGGGGGTTAAATGAGTTGAGATTATTTTATCCTTGGTGTTTGAAAATAAAATTGACTTTTTGTATTGAAATGATGGAACAATTGAAGGTAAGTGGATGGGAATGATATTTTTAGTAATGAAAAATGAAAATAAGGGTGAAAATGTCAAAAAATTGAAAGGTTGAGATATTTTGCACAATAACATTGAAAGATAGAGATGTTTTGTACTAATTAATCTAACTTTTTGTATTGAATTAATGGAGCGACTAACGGGAAGTGGATGAAATGACATTTTTGACAACGAAATATGAAAATAAGGATGAAATGTCAAAAAAATAAAAGGTATTGACATTTTGCACAATAATATTGAAATGTATGGATATTTTGAAATTGTATTTTTAAAAGTGTGATATATACGATTTTTTTTCCCACTTTAATTCTATGCATCACATTCTTTCTAAGTTATCATTTTGTCTCATAAAAGTTTCAACCATAGGTCTAAACCAAACTACACATTAGAATAAATATGAACAATTATATTAATTTCACTACATTCTTATTCTTATTCTTATTGTGACTAAAATAATATTAAAAATATTTTCATCTTAATTCCACTTAAATTTTAAATCCTTAAAAAGAGTGCGTTAGGTCGCATACCAGATAAAATTAAATAGTATGATGATATAATTCTAATAATTCATGCCTCGTTTGTCAGTTGTTGATTTTTATGTACATTTGGCTTTACATTAACTAATCTAAACATTGTAATAGTAATGGTTGTTTCTCCAGTTCAAGAAAATTTAGTCCCTGTATGAGTCCTAATTTTTAAGAAGAATATTTGTAAAAAGTAATTTTTTTGAA